AGCGCTACGCATGCGCAGAGCGGCGGAAATGGGCCCGCGCCCCGCCATTCCTGCAGCCGCCGCGCGGGGGCGGCAGAGGCCGGGGAAGGGCGGGACCCCCGCGCGCCGCCCCGCCCGATGCCGGTCCCGGTCTCGGTCCCGGTCCCGGTCCCGGTCCCGCCCCGTAGCAGGGGCGGCATGGGCTGATGAAAGGGTAAGGCTTGCGCCTCCCGCTCCCAGGCGTCCAGGGCAGCCGCCCTTCTGAAACGGAGCCTCGCGTTTCAGAGGGAAGGAGGTAACGCCCCTAGCCGTCTATAATGTCTCTTTAACAAGGAAAACCACTTAGTAGCACGCTGTGCATTCAACAACCGACACCTACGGCCTCTTCCGTAGGAGCCCAGACTGTAGGAGCCCGTATTTCCCATGTAACTCCCCGCCGCCGCTGCAGCCCAAGAGTGTCGCTGTTCTCAGAAGCCATTCCCTCCCTGCAGCCATCAGCTGCCTTGCCCAACAGCAGGAACAGCCTCTGTATCACCATTTCTCTTCAGTAATAAGGCCTTCGAATTGATTCTTTCTCCTGTGATCCCCACCTTGGGAACAGCATATTCTCCCCTTCAAGTCTCCATAACAAGTATTCAATCACTGCCATTTATTTCAAGAAGTAAGCTATGGTCTCAAAAGCACTGCTCCCCTTCCCTCTCCACCCCAAAGGCATTCCATGAGTGTAAAGGAGCTGTGATGTCAATATGTAGCTCAGGAAAATGGTGTAGTGACAATTTTTAGGACAAAGGCAAGTGTATGTTCAGCAGGCAGTGGGACTATAGGGCACAGCAGTGTTATTAAGCAGGAACACAGAAAGGAGTGTTGTTTTGGAGTGACTGACCCCAAGGTGCTGGTGATGGAAGTATAACCCAACTTTTGTTTAAAGAAAACTTGGAGCTCTTAGCAGAGCACACACTGCTATAGCCACATCTCAGACAACTACAGCTAAACCTAAGCCTCCGGATTAAAACTCTGCAGATTTTAACACTCAGGCCTTGACTCCACTGTCAAAAGACAGGAGTTGACAAATGACTACCAAACCATCAGATGCACTCAAGCTGCACAAAGGCACACATGGTCTTCAGTAGAAGTTTCATTTTCAGTATAAAACAGTAAGGCCATTATTAAACAAAACCTACAGGTAAAGAGGAAATATCACATCTTAACAAAAAAGATTTATTCTGACTAAACAAAATGTACAATGTTTCCCAAATGACAGAGTGTTTTCAAGACTCTGAAGTTTGCAGGTCCATTGGGGAACTTGATCACTTCTTACCCTGCAGTTTGATCAAGCTACTTTTTGCCAGACTTCTTTATTCCACCACTGGCTGCCAAAAGAAACAACACAGCTGGTTAGGTGACTGTGACAGAGCTCAGCTACAAATGCAGCTCCTCATAAAGATGAATCCCCCCATTAGACAGCCTGCACAGCCCAGGTCCCCACTGGTGAACTGTTTCTGCATGTGTGACTACTCCTGTGTGGTTTTGATCTCACGCACCTTATTTTGAAGAGTGATTTATTTAACATTAGGAATTAAGTTTCTCCTGGAACCAAATATGCCCCATGATTCTACAATGGAACTAAATATTCCAACAGTTGCTTTGTTTCTCCGTTGATTATTTCTTACACAGCAGGAGCAGTCTGGTCAAATCAAAATCAAGGGAATAAAAGCATTGGTATCCCTACACCAAAGCCCCCAGCTGGGATCAAAGCTCTACAGAAGCTCTACAGAAGTAGTCTACAGTCCCTGCAGACTACTGAAGACACTAAAGTGAAAGAATACCAGGTATTGACACAGCAACAAGTGTAACATTTGTTGTAAATGCTGTTTTTCTCCAATTGTATCAGGTATGACCAGTAGGAAGGGAAGAGAACAGCAAGGCTGCACCAAGACAGAGTGCAAGGGCCGAGCATCAACAACAGACTGTGCATTGCAACATGATTCCAACAGCATCGCCCTGCTAAGGCTCTTGGAAATAAGCTGACCCTGCCACAGCAACACAACAATCTTTACTGACTTTGGTACGCATCAGACAAGGGCCAGATGCCTGACATCGAGTCTAGAAAAGGGCAGAGAAAGAGAAGTCTGAAGAGATCTGTGAGCTGAAGCACCCTACACAGAATGAGTTTAGGATGGTAAGGGCAGAGCAGAGGCCCAAAGAATTCTTCTGTATCTGTCTGAAACACCAAAGACATTCCAAGTCCCACACCCAGCACACTTTTTGTACAAAGATAAATCAGAGAAGTTAGAGCAGTCTGAGATGAATAAATAATATTCCAAGTCAGTGGGACTGGATGGCACTTCCTTCAAGAGCACCCAACAAGCTGTAATGTGAAAATGCAGATCTGCTGCATATTGTAAGATTTACAATATCAATACAGACACTATGTCAGACAACTCACGAACTGTCAAGAAAGCTCCCAGATATGGAATGGGTTCTGTGAAGAACTGGGCAACTACAGAGCAGCAAGTCTGAGCTCAATCTGAGAAGATAACAGAGTCTGGAACAAAGCAAATGAATGAACAGTCTTGTGAGAGTTAAGAGGATTCCCATAAAGACTAAATCCTTCCTCACTGACCTGCTGGGACCCTGAGGTTATCAAGGTTTGAATAAAGTGAACTCAGGGGACTTCATATTCTCACACAGTACCTGACAAGATTCCATAGCAAATGTTATTAGTGAAACTATTTTGTTATGGGATTGTTGGAAAGGTCTCTTAAGACTGAAAGTTTGCTGAAAAATAGGAACCAAAATGTGAAGCTGACGATCTCAGAATGGAAAAGTGGTTAGTAACATTAATGGGCCACAGGTCGGAAGCAAGCAGGATGCACCCCTGAACATCTCAGATGGGACCATGGCAAACATTGGAGAAGCAGAAGGTGAGAGCAGACCCACAAGAACACTCTCCAGCTGTCACTGAGACAGTCTGGGCTCCATGAGCCACCAAGACACTGTGAACTCACTTCATGTCTCACGTATTTCACAGTCACTCAGGCAGAGGGACTGAAGCCAGACTGGTTAACAGTCACTTTTTTTTTTTTCTCCTGCCAAGAATCTTCTGCTCTTGAAGAAACTCATCCTCCCAGAGGAGAAGCACTGGATTTGTTAAACTTGGAGGACTGTGGCAAAGCCTACATGTAATACATCTGAAAAGAAAGGACTGGTGTGCTAAAAAAAGTGTAGAAATGTCCCTGCACATACCAGTGGACTAGGTCAGCATGCCAGACACAGTGTTTTGCCTGCTGGATCAGAACCTACATCATTTGGGGATGAAAATGCATAAGAAAAAAAATAGCCTCTATTTGTTCCGTATCATCTGTACCTGCCATCAACTAACTTAGCTATGTCAAATAACAGAGGCACCTGCCTTTTTATGCTTGTCAAGCAAAAACATTAAATTTTTGAAGGCAGCCAGACCCCTATTTCTCCTGCCAGAATGACACTTCACTTACCCAGGGGCCCTTTTCCAGCAGCTTTTGCTTTCATCTCCTCAAGTTTCTTTTGCTCCTCCTTCTGTTTCTGTTTGAATGCCAGATCAGTCTAAAGGAAAGAATAGCAGCATTTTTAACATCTCTTCCACAGAAAAATTGAAAAACAACTGAGAAGCAATGAAAAACAAATATAATATTCCAGCAGCAATAAACACCTGACTAGGCCAAGGCAAGATGGATGAATAATGCTAAATACGCAAAACATGGCAGAACTATCACCAAGGTTTTTGCTGTACCACAGACTAAACTTTAACTCCGTATGTTTGGTCTTTCTGGAATTATTTCCCATGGCATAATCTCCTTCTGAGATTATGATTCCTCTGACTGATAGATGTTTGCAGTAACACCATTCATTAATATGCCTTCAGTGACACACATGAAGCCCAGCAAACAGGCACTAACAAAAACATTTAGATTATAAAGAATGAAAATAAAGTAAGGCTGCTTTCACCTGTAAAAATGCATAATCTTTTTCAAAAATCCTCTCACACATATGTCATTTTTGCTGGGTTTAATAAATTTGTATTAATTCCAAGAAATCTAATGAGACTGCTGGCAAACTGTACAGGCAAGGCAGCTATTGAGCCTCTTGCTGGATGAGTCTCCAAATCTAGGAGAAGTCAGACACACTCTGTCCCTTAGATACACATTCTTCAGACACCAAGGCTGAAAAGAACCCAGATTTTTAACATGGCACTCAGGACTTTGGGGTAACTGAACTGAGGGCCTTGACAAGATTGACTGAGATTCCACTGACTCTTCACCAATCCAGTCTACGGCTCATCCTTACAACTGCAAAGCTTTCCTCTTCTTTCAGTTTAAGCCTGCCTTGCTGCAATGTAACCATACTACTTCCCCTACCTACCCCTCACAGAACAGAATAGTCTGTTCCTCTCTCCAGGTTTTCCTGTCTCCTGCAGGCTAATATGTCTTCCCTAGTAAATCAATCCCTCACATTTATCCACTTCTGTGGGATTTGTTCTTGCAATGTGTTGCTCCCAAGTGCTCACAGTATTGCAGGGCTGGGACAAAAAGAAATATTACATCATTTGACACACAAACGTTTATAACTTGGATCCTTGTAAGCACTTTATTAGTTCTACCATTTCTTTGACAATAAAGTTTATTTAGAAAGCTATGATTTTTTTCCTTTTTCAAAGAGATATTGTATTTGCTTTTTTCCAAACAGTGGCACCTCATCCATCATGCACTATTCTCAGAAATAACAGCTGACATCCAAACTTAAATGTAAGGGTTCAGAGTATCTCTAACACTCAATTGACTGGTACTTAATTTATCCAAGATACACAATAATCCTGGGCTCCCGGGACCGCAGTGATTAATTGACTCTGATGCTTTGGCAAGGGCATTCCAAGCTCCTCCGGTAGCCAGCACTGCTGCATCCACCAGCACGGTGGAACACAGGTGGGATGTCGTCATGGAATCGGAGAAACACAGAATGGTTCGGGTAGGAAAGGATCTTAAAGATCATCCCGTTCCAAAGTCCTGCTGTGGGCAGAGACATCTTCTACAAGCCCAGGTTACTCCAAGTTTCGTCCAACCTGGCCTTGGACACTTCCAGGGATGGGGCAGCCACAGCTTCTCTGGGCAGCCTGTGCCAGCATCTCACCACCCTCACAGGAAAGAATACCTTCCTCGTATCTAATCTAAACCTCCTCCCTTTCCCTTTGAGCCCATTCCCTCTCGTCCTGTCACTACCTGCTCCTGTAAATGTCAGCAGGAACCCCGCGGGC